CAATTGCCAGTTGTATCGGCAATCTGATCGAGGTTGATGCTGCCACGATCAATCGAATGAGAATATTTGTCGCACGAGTGTGCGTTGATAAAGACCTCCTCGGCGAGCTCGTCGATGAGATCGAGTTCGACCAAGTTGAGAAGGCAACCATTTAGAAGGTGGTCTATGAAAGGCTCCCTCCTTATTGTTCCCTTTGTGACCACGTGAGTCACGTTAGGGTTGATTGCTATATCAGTGGCAACAATCCTTGGTCGTTGCTTCCACAGCGCAACTATGCGACTAGATTGAGTCCCCCTCGCTACTCCAGAAGACCCCAACAGGAAGGGTAAGACTCTAGCCTGCGCGCATGAGTCCCTCAAGAGACATAAGAACAAGGGCAAGGCAGTGATTGAGACTGCCACTCAAGCTAGGAAGGCAACACAACCTAACCGGCGTAAGGGGTGGCTACGGATGGGCCAAGGGCCAAATCCATGGGATTCTTCCCTTCCCAGTCTCTTCAAACGGCCTCATAGGCCAACCGCTCGTATTTATCTATCATTTTTCTGAGATGGAGGACGAGCCCTCATTCTTCTCTTTTCCTTCAGGAGACACACTGATTCAAGATCTAAGAATTTTTCATCAAATTACAGTTTGGCATTCTTCTATGAATTCCTGAGAACTCACCAAAATTTGTGGACACCACCGGACTCCTTGTGTCGTCGCGCTTCCAATGACGTCCACCTTCATCAGAATTGGCGACCTTTTTCTGGCGACCATATTTTTTGGAGAATACTCTCTCGCCACTTGGGGGCGATGTCCACCTTGGGCCATCATCTGCCGGTAGACACCATGCTCTCACGCTAGGCATCATCCTCTCCCACCCGACTGGCCAAATCCCCGGCCACCGGAGCTCTGTACTTTGTATCTTCTTCTACATTTGAAGCTTCGCCCACCATTTTTCTGACAAGCTCGAAGGTGCAATAGTTTCACCGTATTTTTGCTCTCTTCATTTTGTTCTTAAGATTTGCTTGAAGTCTACTCATGCAGCAATAGTGTGGGTTAACTGAATGAGAAGTGTTGTAGTGTTGTCGGGTTGTTTATAGGCTATGTTGAATATTCATTGAGTTAAGGTGGCACATCTTGTTGGATAATCCTAGGGAATTCTGTCCTTAGTCAACATGGATTCAATCATCAACTCAGTTCTATCATGCGAGTCGTAAACATTGTTTGAAAGTTTTTCGCTCGGATTTGTTTGACATTTATTGGAGGATGATTAAATATTGGAGTCCGATTTATCAGATAGACCGCAGTCAAAACACAATGACCCCAAAAAAGAAAAGGTAGATGAGCCTGAAAACGCAAAGCACGAGCTACATTGCGAATATGTTGATGTTTACGTTCCACACGCCCGTTCTGCTGAGGGGTGCCTACGCAAGAAGTCTCATGCAAAATCCCTTGACGACGAAAATAAGGGGCCAATCACATGAACTCGCTTCCATTATCACTACGAACAACACGCACCGATTTATCAAATTGTCGCTTAATCATAGAAAAGAAATTCAGCAATGTGGAAGCAACCTCCGTCTTATCATTCAACAAATAAACCCATGTTCCACGAGAACAATCATCCACAATTGTCAAAAAATACCGTGCACCACAGAAAGACGGAACACGATACGGACCCCACAAATCACAATGAATCAAATAAAAAATCTCATGACTAACAGTCTGACTAAGAGAAAAACTACGGCGATGTTGTTTAGCATGAAAACAAGCATCACACGATTTATGCAAATTACGAGAACTAGAGTCAATAACAGGCACCTAGGACAATACTTGAGCAGACGGATGACCCAAACGTTGATGCCACACGTCGACAGAAACTTTGCGAACACAAGAAACTGTCGTAGAAACCGTCCCTCGAAAGAAGTAGAGACCCCCCAACTGCTCACTCGTGTCAATCACCTTTTGCGAAGTGTGGTCCTGAATAATACAAAATTTGCTAGTGAACTGAGCAGTGCAGTCGAAACGATCCAACAATTGATATAGTGAAATTAAGCTGCACCGAAGGCTTGGAACGTATAAAACATCATAAAGAGTGATATGAGATCCCAAATAAACAGTCTCAGCCTTGCTAGCTATTGTCAAGGAACCATTAGGCAATTGAACAGGACAGGCGGGAATATCTCGAACATCAGAAATAAACTCCAGAAACCCTGTCATATGATGAGTCGCCCCACAGTGGTACATCCAATCAAATGAACTTTGTGACCAGAATCACTCAATACTCCACTAGCAGTAGAAGAACCAACAAACCCGACAACAAATGAATCATTGGAGATTGCCGCATTCGCACGAGCACCACTCTGGCCGTGAGCTACACCATGACGGCCACCACTAGAATTACAATCGCGGCCACCACTGGTGCCGGAATCAGACATCGTAGACGCAACCATGAAGAAATAACTTTAGAAATTGCAGCGACTGTCAAGAGAAAGAGGGGATGCGAGAGAACGGAGCACGACTGAAGGTGTATGAACCTTCGCTGGATGATGACTGAGACGTGGTCTAGACGGTGTCTTAAACAAGAGAACTACAAGAGTCGTGGACAGGTGCAACCCACGCAACAATTATTATTATTTTTTTTAGTCGCAATCAAGCGGGGCGGCAACAACAATCAACCCACGCAGCTTTGAGATTGAAAACAGCAAAGTGGACCATCAAAATTGTTGAACAACAACAACAAGTAACCAAATTCCACTTTTGAGCATCCAATAGCAATAACCATCAAATAATTAAGCACGAAACCTTAAAAACCACTCAAGTAGCAACCTTCAATAAATCAATTTCCGCAACATGGCTCAATTAAATCATTCGACGGAAGGAAAGCTCAATTAACTTGTTCGGCGGGACACAGCCAAACGAAAAAGGAGAGAAAGAAAAAATAGCAATTGATCTTGAGGATTCGATCAGACTAGACAGAAAAATTTAACCTTCTCTGATACCATGATACGAGAGAGAGACGACACAAAGTTTGGGGTGAAAATCATCCCAATCGGATGATACAACTCTCACTAAACCAAGAATATATACACAAAATTAGGGCTATAGATAACCTAAGGCTAATACGGTAAATTCATAAATATACACAATAACAACAGCACAATCACCATTTTCCGATGACACTTCATCGTCAGACATTAGACCATAGGGAGAATAGACTAGAAGGGATATCCAACCATATAATTATTTCTTTACAAGGTAACTAATGGGTGGTGAAACATGCTTCCAAAATTGGGCGACTCCCGAATCAAGTCGTCTTGGTGATTCTGCATTTTCACACGATCGTGTGACTTTAGGTGAATGCCACACGACTCTGTGGCACCTTAGTGTTATTTTCTACAAGTTTTGATGGTTGGGTCTAAGGAATCATGTGGAACTTGACCCAATGTCACACGACTCGTGTGATTTAGCTTGTTTTATATTCTGTTTTTCTTTTTCAATGCATTTTTCGACCTAGTTTGAAGGGAATTCAAACCAAACTATTTAAAAAGACACTAGGGCATATTGTAGGGGACTTTTGGACACTTTTTAAGTTTAGGGATAAACACAAGACAAGAAAGAAATGCTGGGAAGAAAGAGATCGAAGAGTCAAATAAGCTTTTATTTTTTTTTCTCTTTTAGAAATTAGTGTTTTATTTTGTTATTTCGGGTACGAAACCTTATTTCTAGGCTGGTGATTCTAGAATTTTTTTACTCCTAAGTTTATAAACTGATTTTATTGTTTTTATTTCGATTAGTTTTTCGTTTTATGAGTATCGTTTTTGTATCTTTTATACGAGTAGATGGCGACTATTTCTGCATATTTATGATGGATTTCAGACCTAGAGGAGATAGTCGATTTCTAGACGAGTTAGTTGTTTATCTTGAGACCAAGATAAAAATAAATAACAATTTATCTACGATTTAATTTGTGCAATAGAAAAGTTAACTTCATTTAGTGATTATATTTATTATTGGTAAAATTAAATAAAGTTTGAAATAATATAATTTTTTCATGAATTATTACAGGGAAAGCATAACCAAAAATATACTCTCTAAATATTGCTTAATCATTAGTTTGGAACGCTCTTCTACTTATTAATTTAACTCATATTTTATTTGTTGGTTTATAGTTAAATCACAATCCAAATTCATACTAGTTTAAATAATATTTAATTGTGATTGTTTTGATACCGACCACTACTTACAGCTACACAGTACACTTGCGCATATCGAAAGACTCTTGTGATTCGCCCGAACAAGACGCCGTCTAACAAAATCAATAGGCAAAATAAAATCATAGAAGTAAACAATATGAGAAAGGAAGAATAAGAATGAAAAAAGAAAAAACAAATAGACCCAAACATGCATTTCACATATCGAGAGTAAGACAAACACAATTAAACTACAAAACAAAATGTACACATTTCACAGTGAGTTTTTTTTTAATAAAAATGTACACTTTCACAATGAAATATAAAAATAGCAGACTTTCAAATGTATGAAAATTCATGGTAAAAATATACTTTTTGTTCGGCAAAGTATTTCAACTTGATCAGCTTAACATTTACAGGTCTTTAACAGTAACACTTGTTATTCAATTCTCTGTTCATTACTTGGAATCTTCCAAAATGGATAGATGAAAAACAAACTATAAAAAATAATACTTCACAGGTAAGAAAAAAAAAAGCTTCTATAATTAGATTTTCTCTATCTGAAACCTACACCGTTAATCTTCCAACTTCGAGTCGACGTAATATGCAAAATTGTTTTCAACAATGAGCCAATTCTTGCATTACAAAGAGCCTTCTTCTAACCAGCTCCTATCACTAAATCTTCGTGCACTATGTTTCTGTATTTGAGATTTTTAAGAACCCGTAATAATGAGTTAAAAATGTTAAGAGAATTCACAATCGCAGTCAAATATGAGAACCTTGACTATGTCACAACGTGAGGCATGAAAACCCGTTTGCTCAAAACTAAGCTTCAGCCTCTTCTCTGCCATAAGCGATGCTGTAAACGTCACTGCAAATAGCTACAGTGCTTGAAGATACAGCCAAAAGTATCATAATCCAGGAGATTATTCTATCGTTTCTAGTTGCAATTCCACGAGTATCCCTGCACGAAGAAGCAAGATTAGACTAATACATCATTATCAAATTAACTAACAAAAACCTGAAGTTGTTTTCTGAGACAAAATTGTTGGAATGATATTGAGAAAAAAAAAATAAAAATAAAAATTGTCACACAGGATTTTCTGCATTTCATTAGGCAACATCAACTTCACGCATTTTGGTATTGCCCGTTCATGCCTCTTGCTCAAAATTTAAGTAATAATTTTACTACGTTAGCTTTCTTTAGATCTCCCGAAATTGTGATACTAATCTTTAATCACTTAAGACTTCATATCCAAGAAACAAACTCAATGGCTAAAATGATGTGAGAACAATTGTTCGAACAATATAGAGTATTCAATTTTTATTCTCACCTGAGAGCAATTGCAGCAGGGAAAATGAAACCAACAGCAACAGTAGCAGTGGCACCAGTAAATTGGAAAGCATCCCATATACTTGGCACAAAATTTGCTCCAAAGAAAATCAAACCCATTAGGGCTGCTGTTACTGAATAAAACCTCCGACCATCATAGATAATAGGGATGGAAAATGGGAAAAAGATGCCATCAACATTGAGGCGAAGGGAGTAGAAGACGATCGGGAATACAAGCATCAAATGGATGGCGTAGCTCACACGCACAATGTCGTTCAGCAGCGAGCTGAACTGGATGCCAAGATCTCCATCAAAATTAGCAAGTACATCATCCATTGTCTGGTTACCAAACAAGAGAAACCCAAAGAAGCTAGTTGCTACGTAAACACTCGTGCATAAAGTGATTGATGTACGGACAATGGATTTCATTTGCGAGGGGTCGTCAAGCTCATTCTCTATCGGGTGAACTAAGGATCAGGTTTAAGCAGAAGGAAAATATTGAGTCAGCAAGAAAGAACATGAGAAATAATGAAAGGCAATAAAAAATAAATAAATAAATAAAAGTAAGCTAATCCTGTAAAACACAAATTGACAGCAGGTTAAAGATGATGATCATAGTGAAATATCCACATAGCATATACATAGTCATTAAAATGTACATCAGGATAAATTATGCCATTTCCGCAATTCCACACGAGAGATCTCATACATTCTATTACAGACCTCTTCCCAAGCATGAAAATGATTATAGCTCTACAGTATCATTATCATTTGAAATCCAATTTTAACCACATGTCTAAAACAACATGAGAGAATTTACACACCAACTTTGTGAATGAATATAAGAGAAGAGGTAGATATCAATAGATGAAGCAACAGAGTTTCACTTTAAACCACACTCAGTAATCTGCATAAGCAGAAAAGTATGTTTAACAGTTAAAAAGAAACTTACTGTTATGGTGACAAATATAGGCAGTGACAAGTATCGGAACAGTTGTAGAAAGTTTCCAGAAAGATGCTTGATCAACAAGGTCAGGCAGCAATTGAGGCCTTCCAATGCTTCCATTTGCCATCTTTACAATAGCTATGCCTGCTATGATCACCACGAACAGAACAGCGAGCACAACTGACAGTGCTGAAGTGTATCGCAATGAATCTGGCACCTCAAGCCAAAAAAAGTTACGGTTAGGGTGCTATCTTCTGGCCTTATACATCACAAACCATTTAATCTGAAAAATGCATACGAAAAAAGCTATCATTCTAAAGCCAGAAGTACCAAAAAGTATTTAAGTGGATTTAATTCCATAATTCGGAAACAAAGATAAGAAATAATAGCCTTAAAGTTGTTTAATATGAAACACTCGGTGAATGCTACCATGAAATCTAACCAAGCAAGATACACACTATTTTGCATCTAAACAATATGATAAAGAGCAATTTATGAAAGTTTATTCTAAAAGGCTGAAACGGGCTACGGCTGCTCCTACTGGACCCTAGGGCGTAGGCCCAATTATCCTTATTATTTAGTTAATGTAACTAGTTAAGTTAGTGGGCTTTTAAATGGGCTTTAGGGTTTAATTATTAAATATTAGGGTTTAGTATATATATTGGTGGGTAAGAGTTAGATGGGTATTCTGGAATATTGACGTTTGTGGCAGGCTATCTTGCCTGAGGACCCTTCGGGGTAGTACGTTCATTATCTATTGTTAATATTGCCCTTCACTCTATCAAATTGGT